AAAATATTGATTGTTCGGTGATAGTCATCAACCGACATTGATCCCTGAACGGTTCCCTGCAATTTTCTTTCAAGATCATGGAAAAAAGATTTAGGGCGAAAGGTTAGGCGCATATCTTCCCTTACTTGAACCCAAGATTCATAGGGAATAAAATCAGCAACTCTCTCCCTATTTCTTTTTCTCCACCAAGATACTGCATACCCCTTAAAAGATGTAGCAACTAGCCTAATTTTTGTAAGATCAGAATAATGCTTTAAATCAAAATTCTCCCATTCTATATACTCTGTTGGTCCCTTCTCACCAGAGAAGTTAGGAAATTCAAGTTTAATGTTTCCTAACTCCTCATTAGGCTGTTGGATCCTTTGACATCTAGGATCCACTCTCCCTGCTGGTGGCAGGTGTCGCTCATCATTGTGTGATGGTTGCACTTGCTGTGGGCGTTGTTCCAGATTAGTCATTCGTGTGAGTAACCCGTCCATGGCGAAGGTTAGAGCATCTATTTTTTTCTTCCAATGTCTAGGGTGGGTTTGGAACTTGTTCATCCATCTGTAGAGGAAACAAAAAAAAAAATTCTAAAAACAAGAAGATGTGTGAGTAGACACGTTAGTGAAACCAAAAAGTTGGCTCGCTCCCTCACTATTCTCAGATCGCAAGTAAGAGGTGGATTATATAGCTCTGGGGGTGCACTACACACTCTTACAAACACACACTCTACTCGTGTATCGCTCAAGGTGGCAGATACTCTCACAAGCCTTTTTCCAAAAAGGAAAATTCTAGTCCGGTACTCAAGTTGATATGGATTCAACCTCAAAGTTCAAGAAAACGTACCTTGGAATACTTCACAAGCCTTTGAGAGTAAGAGTGTATCGCGAGATAGGTAATAAAATTGAGAGCAAGTAGCAAAGAAAAAGGACAATACGAGCAAAGAAACTAAATAAGATTTGAAAGAAAAAGGAAACCAAAGAAGGAAGTATGGCAGAAAGATATGCAAGACCAATATCAACAGATAGAGACAAATAGAATGTAAGAGGGGTTCAAGTATACCACAAACAAATAGGAATCTATCAAGAACTCCTTCCAACCTTATACTTTTCCCCTTCCTTTTCCCTCCAAGATTCTCCTACCAACCTTTTCTTTCCCCAACCTTATTCTTCTTCTTCTTTTGCTTTCTCTTTTTTTTTTTTTTTTTTTTTTTTTTTGCTTTTTTTTTCAACTTTCTTGTTTTTTTTTTTTTTTTTTTTGATTTTTTTGATAAGTAACCTCAAAATAACTACTGTGAATATCAACAAAAATTTCGGACCAAGAGGATCCACACAACCCCTTCAAAACAGAATCAAGAATTTTAAGAATCACCCAGAAAAACAGAAACGCTGCCCTTACTTTGAAGATCAATATCTCAATGACCGTAAAGAATTAGCAAGTGTATAATATATCAATAGAACTCCCCAGAAGAGATCGACAACATATCAAAATTTTAGATAAAACTAACTAGTGGATCTCGAGATATAGGTCATTCTTTGAAACTGGTCACAGAATGCGGAAATCTGGACAGGGTGTGATTGCGACGTGATTGCGTGTAATTGCGCTTCAGATATAGGTAAGGGTGAGATGGGATTGTTTTCTTGACTGAATTTGTGGTAATATGGTGCTTAGGAAGTGTGCGTTATCATTGTTATTGGATAGGGAAAAGGGAAAACTCTTTCGGGATAGGTTTTCAAGAAACTAAAGAACATGTATCAAGATTCAAGAAAATAATCAAGAATGCAAAGGAAATTTTTTTTAGGGTTTTCTAATGAATAAGACACAAAAAAAAGTAGTATGTAAGATAAGAACGAGATAAACCTAGGGAAACAAACAAACCAAATTTCTAATGATAATGAGATAAACCTAGGCTCTGAATACCAAATTGATATGAACCTAGTCCAAGGTTCAAATAAGATTGAATATTGTCCCAAGAATGCTCTCAAAAGTAAAGATAGAGATGGATCAAAATACCTTAGACCTCACGAGAAACCCTTTGTCTCGAATCCTCAAAGACTTAGAAGAATCCCATTGTAGCTTCAAGTACCTCGATGATGCAATCTTCAATCAACTAGAGTCGGATCTAGTTTCCTTCAATTTAAGAACAAGTCCACGAACCTAAATCTAAGGTTGATGAAAGTAAGATTGATTCGAGTCCACGAATCAATTTGCTAGTCGAGTCCACGACTAGCCACTATTTGAGTCCACAATTAGCCATAAGGTTTCTTACACAAGTGTAAAGAAAACTTAAAAATTTTATTGAATTAAAGCCTCCTCAAACTGATATGGATGTGCCCTATTTATAGGTATAGGGCAGCATTGTAATCCTAAATACAATGGGAAAAAGAGTCCTAAACCTAATCTAGAAAGCAAGTAAATATAGTCCTATTTAGAAAGGGATTTAAGGAATATAATCCTTTCTAAATACAAACTAGTGTTTTCTCTTTAATTCCAAACAATTTAAAATAATGATGACCACAAATAATAAAGCTGATTTGGGCCTTGGATCTTGTGATTGGCCCAATTTGTACTCTTAATGGATCTTCATTATGTTGGGCCGCATCAAAATAGGCATGGCGTTTTCTGACAGACCCAAACTCTCTGGCTGCCAGGTTATATAAGGCCAGGTATTATCCTAATACACCTTTTATGAGTGCAACTATAGGGAATTGCCCAAGTTACTGTTGGAGGAGTATTATGGCTGCACATGACCTTGTCTGTTCGGGAGTACGGAGGAGAATTGGTAATGGTAGAACTACGTCGATTTGGGGAGACCCGTGGTTACCGGATGATCCTAGTCCAGTTATCCAAATTGAAATGCCAGAGGAACTGAGGGGGGCGCAAGTGTCTGGACTAATTGATGAACAGACTAAAACCTAGGATCCTCATATTTTAACATATTTATTAGTCCCTGAGGATGTAGTAAGGATAACAAGGGTTGGACTCGTGGTATTGGTTCAGTGACCCAAAGGGGATTTATACGGTAAAGAATGCATACAGACAGGTTGTTGGAAATATTGAATATAGTAATATGAATTTTGACAAATGGGCATCATTATGGAAATTAAAATTCCCACCCAAATGGAAAACTTTCTTGTGGAGAGCTATGAGTGATAGAGTTAAATCCACTTTTAGTCCTACATTTATCGGGCATTGAACACATTTTGCCTGGTTTTATTAATTTTGCCACACTTTGCCCGGACTTTTTAAAAGGTGGACAATTTTGGTCCACCGTTACATTTGCTGTTAAAGATCCGTGAAGTAGGAGGGCAATTATGTCTTTTCAAGTCCTATTCTTCATCAGCCTTCATTTGTTGCTTGGTCTCCGCAGTCAAAGTGTTAGCGGGAACATGTTTCTTTGCCTCAACCTGTACAACAAGAACTCGGCAATGAATGCTAAACTTATGAAGTGATTATGGAATCAAATTTAATCAAAAGCATAAAGAAGAAAACTGTACAGGGAAATCTCATAATCAATACAATTCGTTCTTGTTTTATTAGGTAGCTTTAGACGACACGCAATTCCTTTCCAAAACAAATCAATCACAAAATGAACATTGACAAGTGAACACAGCTTACCATCAATGTTGTGTTTCTCTATAATCACTCATTCAGCAACAGCAGGATCTGCAAACACTATGAAACCAAAACCAATACCAAAACCAGAATCCCTCATAATTATAGCCTCCAAAACCTCCCCATAACTGCTAAAATACTCCTTTAGATTCTCTTTATTGGTATCCCTAGAAATTCCACCAACGAATAACTTGCCAAGATAAGATTGCATTTTTCTACCAAATAAATAAAATCTCATAACCCAGCAACTCAAAAAAAATAGAGGTCAGCCTAGATTATACCACCCCCCTTCACAGGACTTCAACAATAGAAGAACACTACCAAAGTTCACTCAACTCCACCACAAAATAAAGGCACAAAACAAGAGCATCAATCAATAAAAATCGAACCTTTAATTTGCTATGAAGAACAAAGAGAACTTGGAAGATACACTACAATTGGGATACCAATAATTGATGACTTAAGTGATTCAATCCAGAAACACCGGATCCTAGTAGGATAGTGGAATTATAATCGAACCACCGACAGTCAGAGGAGACGTAGGCTTTCTTGATTGACAGATTCAGATCCGTGAGAACTTGAACAAATTCCAAAAGAATTTTGTGCTTTCTCGCACTATCAATTACGTTAGAATCCTTAAAACACAGAACAATATCGATTTTAACCATAATTTATTCGAAATCGGAAGAAAAAAATCCCAAAAAAAACTCATATCTGCAGACATACGAACAAGAAACCTTTAAAAATCCGGCAAAAATCAAGAGAAATACTAGGAGCAGAGTTTTTACCTGGGAGTATTCATGCGAAAAACAAGCTTTTCATACTCATCCAAATAAGTATGCCACTCCATATTTTTCTCCACAATTTTCAAAACTCAAAACTTCTCTGCAACTTGCGAGAACACCGCCGCCCACTGGATTGACTAGTGTGGGTGGTTTAAGAAGAACCCAAGGGTGGGTGGGACCACTTGGTGGGCTCGGCAGGGACGGAATCGAGATGGGAATTGAAGAGAACGGAGGGGAGCGAAGGGTTGGAGAAGTAAGGGCTTGTTTGGGGGACAAGTGAAATATAAAAGCTTCGATCGGATGCCGGGGATGGAGTATGCAAAATAGGTTAGGATACAGACAGCATAAGCGTAGTCAACATTCGGGTGGGCGGTGTTGATTCGAGACAGAGGAAGAGGCGAATAAGCATGATGAAGCTGCAGTTTGCAGATAACAGAGTTGGGCTGATGAAGAAGAATACTGGAAATGACATAATTGCCGTTTTACTTCACGGAAACTTAACCCAAATTGTAACTTTGGACTAAAAATGTCCAACTTTTATAAAGTCTGGGTAAAATGTGGTAAAATTAATAAAAGCGGGCAAAATATGTCCAATACGTAATAAATGTAGGACCAAAAATGGATTTAACTCTGAGTGATATTTTACCCGCAACTATTAATTTATTGACGAAGAGGGTGGAAGTGGACTCGGCATGCCCGATGTGTGGTTTGGTTCATCAGGATGTTATGCATACATTTATATCTTGTGATTATTCTAGAATTGTTTGGACTATTACTGGGTTGCCTGTTGCGAATGTGGTTACGCATTCATTCCCGTTATGGCTTACTGGTATTTTCAACATGTTAACAGATGAACAATGCGGTCTGGTAGTTGGTGTGTTGTATCACGTATGGGCTGCCCGGAATATGGCGGTTTGGGAAGGCGCTCTTCCACGGCCGGAGCAAACATGGCGGCGTGCGGCAGCGACGTACCAGGCCTACTGCCAGATCCATCACCGCGCCCAGCAGCAGTCGCACCAGCCGGCGTCCTTCCCCGGCGGACTGGAATCGAGGCCACGATGCTTCTTCGACGCGAGCTTCAATCGCCACACCGCCACTGCCTCTTATGGAGTGGTCCTAATTGCGCACGATGGAGCATTCCTGGCAGCAATGAATGGCCGACTCACAGCCTCTCACTCACCACTCATGGCGGAGGCGCAAGCCTACAAGGAAGCCTTATCTTGGCTTATGGCACGAGGCGTTACGGCGGTAGACCTTCTTACGGGCTGTTCGGAGTTACGCGCTATTATAGTCTCAGGCTCGGCATCTGTTTTGTCCTACGTTGGGGTTGTTACGGACCAGTGTAGGATGTCTATGTCTTTATTTTCGCATTGCTCGTTGAATTTTGTTTCACGAACTTTAAATTTGCATGCTCATACTTTAGCATCGTTAGCTATTAGTCAGGATAACTCTATGTATTGGGATTCGATCCCACCTGATTCCATCGCTATGTTCGTTTGAGTAATAAAATGTTTTTACCTTCAAAAAAAATATTAATTATTATTTATTTTTTTAAAAAATATTAATTATTATTTCAAAAAATAATTAATAATTAATATATTTACACTATAATACAATAATTATAATAAATATTTTATTTTTTATTATTTAATTTCATAAAAATTATTTTATTTTGTAATAAATTTATTAATAATATATTTATTGTTGAGTTTTTATACTTTTAATTATTTAGTAAATTTATTAAACTTCCTGTATGCGTTGTTTTATACGCATGAATTACCAAAGAAGAAGTGCTTGTGTCTCTAGTCTGACCCGACGGCTCCATTAAGTTGATCTTTAGAAGATTGAACTCCATCATTTTGTGGTCTTCATCGTATCCAATTCGAGGTTCTTGACTAGAATGCTGTAGGTTGAGGTTGAAGAAGAAGACTATTGTGTATATTTATAATGTCTTATAATGACTTTGGTCTAAGTGTATGTTAAGCCTCAATTAAGGCTTCCTTTCAGAACATTTGATATTTAAGACTTGTGTTGGCCAATGGTCCATGATATAGTTCAAGGAAATTGGAAAACCTACTTTATAAAATATAAAACATATAATTAAAAACAAACATACAAGATCAGATCTCATGATGATGATGTCTAAATAATATTATTGTGTGGTTTTGTTTGATGGGGGGTGTGGTGCATCCTGGGAGTGACATCAATATAATAGCGGCTAACTAATAATCATGGTTGCAGTAGACGCTAGGCGCTAGGCGCTAGTCGGGCGTCCGGGCAGCGCCTAGCGCCTAAGCGGCCTAGGCGGGCGCCAAAAAAACAGTGGCAGACTCGCAGTTTGACAATTTTAATGAGGTTGTTTTCAACATTCAATCAAATAACACATCCAAATAAATGAAATAATGATAATTCACAAGCCATAACATCAAAACAATATTAAAAATAAAAAATACTCAAATATGAAATACTCAAATACCTCAATCATCCAAATATTCAAAGTATCAAACTAGTCTACAGGTGTAAATATGTCATATTATATATATGTGCACACACACACACACACACACACACACACACACACACACACACACACACACACATATATATATATATATATATATATATATATATATATATATATATATATATATATATATATAAAATGTAAATAGTTAGCAAGGCCGAGTTGATCGAGTTAACTCGACCGAAATGGACGAGTTAACTCGGCTAAGTTATACGCTAGGCGGCTGCCTAGGCGGCCAAGTCGGCCGAATTAGGCGCTAGGCGGACGCCTAGGTAACCAGGCGCTTAGTGGGGAAATCGCCAGGGTCTAGGGGCGCCTAGCGCCTAGGCAGGCGCCTAGACCGATTTTTGCAACACTGCTAATAATAGACACATGCATAATTATACAGAGGCCAGATGACATTATATTATTGATGATGGGTGCATGTCACATTGATCATGGTCGGTTGCAGGCTTCATTACTGAATAGATAGAGACGTGATACGACTGTTCATGGCGGTCTATTTTGGAGATTGGTGATTATTATAAAGAGTTAATTCTATCAGACTCCTTTGTTTTTTGAGGCAATTCCATATTTAATCTCATATTATTGTTTTTGTCATTTAACATTCTAGACTATTATTTTTTTGGACATTTTTAGTCATTCTCATGACTTTTCCTATTTTTAGTAAGGGTATTTTTGTCTTTTCATATTTTTCTTTCGATTTCAATTGATTTAATTTGTTACTTAGGTTCTTGTATTGTTGGTGCGTCCAGATGCGGTTGTGCGGTGAGAGGAGAGCCATTAATTTTGTTTAAATCAACGTCCAGGATTACTAAAATTAAAAATAAAAAATGCGGTTGCAATTTGGTAATTTTTGCATCTAGGTCAAATTTAAGGTTCGTGAGTTTTGTGCTTAAGGTGCGTTGGATTTGTGCTAATGGTGCGTGATTTTTGTGCTTAAGGTGCGTGGATTGTGTACTTAATGTGAGTAGTTGTTGAAACTTAAGTTGTGTGAGTTTTGTGCTTTAGGTGCTTGGGATATGTGTTTAAGGTGCGTGTGTTTTGTGCTTAAGGTGCGTGGGTTTGTGCTTAAGGTGCGTGAGTTTTGTACTTTAGGTGCGTGACTTTGTGCTTAAGGTACGTGTGTTTTATGCTTAATGTGAGGAGTTGTTAGAACTTAAGGTGCGTGTGTTTTGTTCTTAAGGTGCGTGAGTTTTGTGCTTAAGGTGCGTGAGTTCTGTGCTTAATGTGAGCCATTTTAAAAGCTTAGGTGCGTGGTATGTGTTCTTAAGGTGCTTTGTTGTGTGCTTAATATGCGTGGTTTGTGTATTTAAGGTGAGTGATTTGTGTTCTTAAGGTGTTTTGTTTTTGTGCTTAAGGTGCGTCCAATCGCACGGGAAGCCATTCCTGCACCTGAACCCTTCAGGTGCGGGTGGTGCTTCTCGTGCGGTTGTGTGGGTGGACGCACATTAAGCATTACACTGGCGCACTTTAAGTGCACAACACATGCACATTAAACACACAAACAAAATACATTCAGAACACAACCCTACGCAGCTTAAGCACAAAAGTCACGCATCTTAAGCACAACCCTCACGCACCTTAAATACAAAACTCACGCACCTTAAGCATAAAAACACACGCACCTCAAGTTTTAACAACAACTCACATTAAGTACAAAACTCACGCACATTAAGCACAAGACTCACGCACCTTAAGCACAAAACTCACGCACATTAAGCACAAAACTCATGTACTTTAAAGTTTCAACAACAACTCACACATCAACTCACATTAAGTACACACTCACGCACATTAAGCACAAAACTCATGCACATTAGGCACAAGACTCACGCACCTTAAGTACAAAACTCACGCACATTAAGTATTACACACTCACACACATTAAGCATAAACCTCACGCACATTAATCACCCGCACAACCGCACGGGAAACCTTCACCGCACTGGAATTTAAACACACACACACACACACACACACACACACATATATATATATATATATATATATATATATATATATATATATATATTAAATTTACTTTATAATTTCTACCAAAATAATTATACAATTCACATTAACATTCAAAACGCAGGAAATTTACATTCATACTCTCATAATTGATCAAGCTAATAAATTACACAATTAATCAAGGAATAAAACTCACAAGTCACAATTGATACTAATTAATACTCCCTCTGTCCCATTTTACTTGTAACACCCCCAAACATGCTATATAAAAAGCCTTAACACATGCAGATCATACAACAAAACTAGCACAGCGGAAGATAAAAACACGAGAACTGGATAAAAGAAATCCAAACGGGGTGTTATGCCACGTCTACCAAACACGGTAAACACTACGGCGATCAATCTGCAAGTGTATACATCTATCCCAAAAAGGTAACAGTCTAACGCTACAACGGCACACAGGCCACAAAACAAAGGTAAAGATACAAGACTACCGGCCACTAACATCGTGCTCGTCTAGACATCACTTGAAAGATACAAAGATAAACATTGGGACGACGCCCGGCCAGCGAATAATGCTGGTAACCCACCAATACATGTGAAATATCATAAATAGGTAGATATAAGTTGTAAAGCCATTTTCGAAACGGAATACATAAGTATATAAGTGTAAAACCAAGAGTAAACACCAACTCAAGACTCATCACTCTCAAAGATAACACGGGAACACATCCCAAGACCACAAAGGACAATAACAACTCAAGGATAAAGACACGACAAATGGCAACACATGCCTAGGCGCACACGCCTTTGTGACTACACACGTCACAAGAAGAGAACTCACAACAACGGCTACACAAGCTCTCGTGACATCACCCATCACGAGTTGATATGCCTTCCTTATGCCCTGTTCCAACCTTATGGCTACCCCCAACCTTATATCTAGTTCCAACATTTACCTCCAGGACCCCTGTACACCAAGTCCAACCTTATTCCCCCGGGAACCGTCGTTCCCCCTCCAACAAACCTCCGACAAAGCCACCGATTTCATAGTACACAAGGTATCGTACACACACACGGCGACACACGCCTTCCCAAGAAATACGTGAACCTGACACACAGGTCACAACTCCATATTCACGTCACAGCCACCACGAGGACCGCTGCAATACCTTGGTGACTAGTGTCCCATACCACTAATCGTGCAATCGAGGTAAAGCCACTCACACATCACACCTCAACAGGAATCAATCAACAGATTGCAACAAAGGTATGAAACATACTTAATCAAGGAATGGGTCACAGCCCAACAACAACAACGATGAATAACACAAGTTATCATCAACCAATCGGAAGGTACAAACAACACACACGCTAGAATTTAGATACCAAACTAGCATGCTTATCAACGGGGAAACCAAAGATAGTTCCGAGCAACACACAAGACACTTCACGGTCCAACGAAACACAATGTTGAACACTTATCAGGATTCAAGACACCAAAGTCCTACATGGGTACCTACCATATAGTTCTAGACATACGAAACATCAAGGATACACTTAAATAGTTCCACAAAAGAACATCGGGAAGTCAAAAGACCAAATACCGAGTCAAACGAATCACGGGGAACAAATCCCGATCCATCTCCACTATGTTCCCCGCGGGTGGACCCACGGGTAGGTTCCCACCCGTGGTTCTGCCCGCGGGTACACTACCCACGAGGCTACATGTTCCTCGCGGGTGGGCGGCGGGTGGAGCTCGACCTGTCGTTCCGCCCGCGGGTACATATACCTGTGCAAAATAATCCCCTCGGGGATTTTCTTCTCCAAACACCAATTCAAGTCCAAAACATGCCAAATCTCACCCAACACAACAAAATGACTTGAATCATGGAAAATGCCAAGCAATGGCACAAAGGAACCCTAAACACAAGCTCTAGATATGCAATATCACAAGACAAATGCATAAACCCTCACATTTCATAGCAAAGCACGAGTAGAA